TGTCGCGAGATCAGACCGGTATCAGATATCAGTTTCAGTTTCAGTTTCAGTTTCAGTTCAGTTATATATGCTTAGATCATGATATTGTTATTATTTTCAATGTTTACATTAATATGAGTTTCTGCGGAGCACAAGTGTTTTAGTGCTCACGCCCCCACGCATTTCATGTTTTTCAGGTCGCAGGGTCGGAGACGAGGAGTGAGCTGGCGACAGTTCAGGATATTTTGTGGATATGTATATATGTGTTTTGCCACGCAGTTGTTTCCGCTAAAACTATCTTCAGCTTTTTTTCTGACGTTAGTCGGTTAAGACCTTATAACTTTTTTTAATTATCAATTTAAAATTTTAACGGTTTTCAGAAAAATCAAGTTTTTCACGGTAGCATCCCGAATCAGTTTTCGCAAAAATAAACGATTTATTTTATCATCCAGAAAATATATTGCGAAAATCGCGTACTCTGATAGTATTAAAAATTCGGGGTGTTACAATTGGTAACAAAGCACGTTTCTGCGTCTCTGAAAAGTTTTCAGTCAGTAATTTTCAGAAAAACCTGAACCGTCACGCTCACACCTCGCCGACTCCAGGTAAGTGCTGATTCAGTTTTCAGTTATAAACATATTACTTTGTCTATGCTCAGAAATCAGTAATCAGACTTAGTTAAGATGCTCAAATCAGATTCAGACTTTAGAGTTCAGATATAACTCTAGAATTCAGTATATTCAGGCATGACTTTAGAGATCAGTATACTCAGACATGACTCTAGACTTTAGTATCTTTTGATATGACTCTAGAGTTCCTCAGGTTTCACGTCAGTATTTATCGGCCATTTTTGGCAACTCGTCAAGAGATCTGTATGCCTTAGTAATCAGTCAGAATATTATCACGTGTTCAATAATTTGAACTTTTTTAATGTTCAGATGCCGCCACGTAGGGAACCCGATCATCCGGCTCCTACTCAGGCTACAGTAGTCACCCTGTTCCGCGACTATCATGCCGAGAAATTCTCAGGGCAGGGAGATCCTCGCATCGTAGACGAGTGGATTCAGGGCCTGGAGTTTATCTTCGAGATCATGGAGTGCCCTGATAGATATCGCGTTGTTTGCGCTCAGCTTCAGCTCGCCGGTGATGCCCGGCTCTGGTGGAACGCTTACTGGAGCATGGTCCTGGCGAGAAGGCGGGATGTACGTGGGAGATGCTCAAGGAGTTAATCCGCGAGAAGTACTATCCCACATACTACCGAGCAGAGATGGAACGTCAGTTTCTATCGCTCCAGCAGGGTACTCGTACTGTTGACGAGTATGAGAGGGAGTTCACTAGACTTGCAGCTTTCGTTCCTGATTTGGTTCGCACGGAGGCCCAGAGAGCACAGCGTTTTATTGACGGGCTTTACCCAGCAGTCCGTCATAACATTGTAGGCCATGGGACACAGACGTACGCGCGTGCCGTTTCCATTGCCCAGGAGGTGGACACCAACATCAGGAGGGAGGCCGTCCGTGATCAGTCCCAGCCATCTGTTCCTACCCAGTCATCTTCAGTTCCACCGATGCCAGCTCTACCAGCTGCCCAGCCACCGAAAAACAACAAGAGGAAGGGGAAAGGTGCCCCGACAGATAAGAGGACCCGACAGAGGCTACAACAGATCCCACAGTGCCCGACATGCGGACGACTTCACCGAGGCGAGTGTCGCTTTGGTCAGGATGTATGCTACTACTGTCATGAGCCCGGACACTTCGCGAACTGTTGTCCGAGAAAGGCGCAGCAGCCTCAGCAGCCTCAGCAGCCACCGCAGCAGCAGCAGCCCCGTCAGCAGGCTCAGAGGCCGCCTCAGCAGCAGCAATAGAGGGGCAGACAGCAGGCCTGAGTATACGCAGTCGATCAGGCAGAGGCCGAGCGGCAGCCAGGTACTATGTCAGGGATGGTTGTTCTTAATAATGTTCCTGTGTTTGCTTTATTCGATACTGGAGCGACACATTCTTTCATTTCACGACAATGTCTTGATGCCATCGGAGTTCGCGCTACTACCGCTATCGATCCTCTTGAGGTGAGTTTAGCCTTGGGACGAAAGATAGTGACTTCAGCCAAAGCTTCAGACCTTAGCCTTTCCATCGGTGACCGAGTATTGTCTACCGACGCGTTTGTTCTCGAGATGAGGGATTTCGACCTTATTTTCGGAATGGATTGGCTATACTTTTATCATTCGGATATCAGATGCCACGACCGGGAGATTACTCTGTATCTTACGGGAGATGAGTCGATTACTTTCTTTGGCTCCAGGAATCGTTCATTGCCTCATGTTGTTTCGATGGCGAAAGCCACTAAGTTGCTGCGACGAGGCAACTGCCAGGGTTATCTGGTGAGCCTTGTCGATGAATCTCAGAAAGCACGCTCACCTCACGATGTACCGGTCGTTTGTGAGTTTGTGGACGTGTTCCCAGACGAACTTCCAGGAGGACCGCCTAACCGGCAGGTGGAGTTCTCAATCGATCTCATTCCAGGAGCCAGTCCAGTATCCAAAGCCCCGTACCGTATGGCGCCAAAGGAGTTGCAGGAGCTTAAAACTCAGATTCAGGAGCTGTTACGACTCGGTTTCATCTGACCGAGCGTGTCATCTTGGGGAGCACCCGTTCTCTTTGTCAAGAAAAAGGACGGATCCATGCGCATGTGTATTGACTACCGGGATCTTAACCGGTTGACGATCAAGAATAAGTATCCGCTTCCCAGGATCGACGACTTATTTGATCAGTTGAGGGGAGCATGTGTATTCTCAAAGATTGATTTACGATCAGGCTACCACCAGCTGAAGATTAAAGAGTCAGATATCGCTAAGACCGCTTTCAGGACTCGTTATGGCCATTACGAGTTCGTCGTCATGCCATTCGGTCTCAGCAATGCGCCAGCAGTTTTCATGGACCTCATGAACCGTATCTTCCATCCCTACCTCGATCAGTTTGTTATTGTCTTTATTGACGATATTCTTATCTACTCGAAGAGCCAGAAGGAGCACGAGGAGCATCTGAGGGTGGTTCTCGAAACCCTCAGACGAGAAAAGTTGTTTGCAAAATTCTCCAAATGCGAGTTCTGGCTCCAGCGAGTATCTTTTCTGGGTCATGTGATTACTCAGGCAGGTATCGAGGTGGATCCTTCCAAGGTCTCAGCTGTTCAGAATTGGTCAACACCGAGGAGTCCATCCGAGGTTCGCAGTTTTCTCGGTCTAGCTGGCTATTACCGCAGATTTATCGAGGGCTTTTCCATGATTGCCCTCCCTCTATCCTAGCTGACGAGGAAGTCTGTGAGGTTCGAGTGGACTGACCGATGTGAGGCGAGCTTTTAGGAGCTCAAGAAGAGATTAACTTCAGCACCGGTGTTGACTATTCCCGATCCTTCTCGGAGTTTCACCATCTTCAGCGATGCTTTGAGACAGGGCTTGGGATGTGTCCTTATGCAGGATGGCCAGGTCGTCGCGTATGCTTCACGTCAGCTTAAGCCGCATGAGCAGAACTATCCGACGCACGACTTGGAGTTAGCAGCAGTCGTTCATGCTCTCAAGATTTGGCGACACTATCTTTACGACGGTCATTGTGAGATTTTCACAGATCATAAGAGCTCGCAGTATATCTTTACTCAGAAGGAGCTCAACATGAGACAGCGCCGTTGGTTAGAGCTCGTCAAAGATTACGACTGCTCTATTCAGTATCATCCGGGGAAAGCAAACGTCGTTGCTGACGCCCTTAGCCGAAAGGTGAGGGGTGACTTGACGTATGTCATTACTCAGCAAAGTCCGTTGATTCAGGAGTTTGCCCGGATGCAGCTTCAAGCGATCGATGCACCTCCCACAACCGTTTCGGGGAGTACCAGTGCCAGTGTCAGTGCCATGCAGCTTCAGCCGACGCTAAGAGAGAGAATCCAGCGAGAACAGGCTTCTGACAAGTTCGTTCGTGTCATGGAGGCCAAGGTTCGCGCCGGAGGCGTCAAGGGTTTTCAGCCAGGTGCCGATGGTGCCCTAGAGTTCAGAGACAGGATCGTGGTCCCGAAAGTCGAGGCGTTGTGGAAGGATATTTTATCAGAGGCTCATACCGCACCCTATCTAGCCCATCCTGGGAGCACGAAGATGTATCACGATCTGAAAGGGTTGTTCTGGTGGCGAGGCATGAAGAAGGACGTCGCCGAGTTTGTCAGGAGGTGTCTTACCTGTCAGCAAGTCAAAGCCGAACATCAGAGTCCGATCGGCCTCCTGCAGCCACTGCCGATTCCGAGGTGGAAGTGGGAGGAAGTCACGATGGATTTCATTGGGATTGTCGAGGTCGTCTGAACATCACGGCGCTATCTGGGTCGTGGTCGACAGATTGACTAAGGTCGCGCATTTCCTACCCGTTTCGATGAAGATGTCTCTGGACAAATTAGCTGAGATATATACCTGTGGGATCATTCGACTCCATGGAGTGCCCGTTACTATCGTATCAGACAGAGATCCCAGATTCGTCAGCAGATTCTGGCACAGCTTACACGAGGCGATGGGCACGAAGCTTGAGTTCAGTTCAGCCTACCATCCGGAGACAGACGGTCAGTCAGAGCGGACTATTCAGACGCTTGAGGATATGCTTCGGGCTTTGGTTGTTGACAGGGGTGCTAAGTGGGAGTCGTTGTTGCCGTACGCCGAGTTTGCGTATAACAACAGCTATCATTCTTCCATTCAGATGGCTCCTTACGAGGCACTCCACGGTCGCAAGTGTCGTTCCCCTCTTTATTTGGACGATGTCGGAGAGCGACGAGTACTCGGTCCTAAGTTGATCGAGGAGACAGCAGATCAGGTCGAGTTGATCCGGCAGAGACTCAAGACAGCTCAGAGTCGCCAGAAATCTTCAACCGATCATCATCGACGAGATATTCAGTTCGAGGTTGGCGAGCCAGCTTTTCTCAGAGTTCGTCCGATTCGCGAAGTTGTTCGATTCGAAAAGAGAGGAAAGCTGCACCCTCGATTTATCGGTCCGTTCGAGGTTCTCGAGCGAGTGGGCGAGGTCGCGTATCGATTAGCCCTACCTCCCGAGTTATCAGGCATTCATAATGTGTTTCACGCATCGATGTTGCGTAAGTACGTGTGCGACCCCGATCATGTTGTTCCCCACTCAGATATTCAGGTTCAGCCAGATCTTTCGTACGAGGAGCGATCCGTAGCTGTACTAGACCGTCAGGTCCGTCGGCTCCGGAAGCGAGATGTTCCCCTCGTGCGTATTCAGTGGGATCGCCACGGAGCTACTTGGGAGGTAGAGTCTGATATTCGCGCTCGTTTTCTAGATTTTCAGTTTTGATGTACATATTTTCTTATTTTATGTACATAGTTCAGGTATATTCAGCCATGTTTTGAATTTCCGAGGACGGAAATTTTGTAAGGAGGGAGGATTGTAATATCCCGTCAGATTATCAGTATAAATTATGTTTTTTTAGTTCCGATATTAATTTTCAGAATTGATTATTTTCAGTCAGTTCAGTCGAAATTACCGGAAATTATTTTCGACGTATCGTTTACGTTCGGAATAATTTTGGTAATTAAGCATTATGTTTAATTGAATAATTAAACATAATTAAGTGATTAATTAATAATTAATCACAATAATTAGTGACAAACCGTACGAAACTCCTAATTATTCTTCCAAATAATTTGTACGTATTAAGTGAGGTGTTAGTGGATTTTGGTCCAACCTTTTCCTCATTATCAAGAATGTTAACGTGGCATTACTTGAGTTAATAGAATGCTTAGTCATTTAAGTATTACCTAAGTTTTTTACAAGTGTTATTAGCCTAAAATGAACACATCTTCACCTCATCATGTTATCCCTTTCGGTGCCATATATAAAGAGGAGTTGGATGGAAATTTTCCCATCTTTCTCTACATATTTAAGTTCAGCATATATGTAAACTCCATTTTCAGCCTTCATATTGTATGCATATTGGGGAGAGAGTTTATTGAAATTGAGAGTTCCGAACAGTTTAGCACCGTAAGTTCAGCAAGCATCCGTACGCGTAGCAGCAGTACTCCACGGCAGTCAGTACACGCACGGCTAGTTGCGAGAACACACGCACCACACGGCACGCAAGCGGAGGGTCACGGCCGAGTACGGGAATCCGAGGAGTGTTGTCACTCGGGCTTAATCGGAGGTAAATTCCCGACGGTTGTAGACCGAGATTATCATTGTTTATTAAGTTCGGTTTTCAGTTTAGGCGATCATGCGTGTTACATGTGTTTAAGGCCGTGCGAGAAGCCGTGCCGAATCATGTCATGTTCTAAGTTGAATTTTCCGAACAATCTTCGTATGATTAGTCTTTTTGAGTAATATCATGTTCAGAAAAGGTTAAGTGTTCGGAGAGATTTCATGTTTAAGTGTCGTGTCGGCCGGAGGGCGTGGCCGTGCACGTAGCACCAGCCACAGGCCGTTCACGAGTAGCATATTTGCTAAGTAAATATTCTTTCGAACCAGCATGTTCATTTGTTCAGTATATCATGTTTAAGTTCAGTTAAGTGTGTTTTGCCGAGAGTAAATGAGATTCGATCGTAAAACGGCTTAACGCCGTCGGCAGCGCACGGTGCGTCCGCCGCGGCCAAGTTCAGTCCTTTGAGCAAACTTTCATGTTTTCAGTTTAAATCTGTTCATGTGTTCATGTTATGCCGTTTAAGGTCAGTATGTTCGGG